TCTCCTTAGCTAACTTGTGATGTCAACACTGTAGTTAAGTAACTTGAAACTCTGGGCCCCAGAGTTGCTCTGGTCTGCTGCTCATATTCCTTCCTTGGCAGCACGATCATACGTCATAATGTTTGAAGTAGTCCTCATTAGGCAATATGAACAATGAACTTGACAGGATGACTCTTACATCTTTCTTATAATACTATTCTGCAGGCCACTGAGTTTTGCCTACCTTACTTTATATTGATCTGCTGATTGTATAAAACAAACAAAACAACGCACCCCCCTCCATTGAAACAAAGGGGTGTTTTCCTAAATGTCCTTTAGACTTTTCTTTTTTCCTTTTATTTTTTAAAAGGAAAGGAAAGTTCAGTGCTGCCTGTTGATTATGAAATCTTTTTTCCTATTAGTATTTATCTTTATTAGTAGATTTCTTTATTAGTAGATTTCTTTATTAGATTTTTTTATCAGTAGATTTGTCTTTATTAGTAGGTTTCTCCAATTAAAAGCAGCAGGAGAGTAGACAGACAGAGATGGAACTGACAAGTTTTCTTGAAAGATTACTTCAGGTGTTTAGCCATTATTACAGCTGATACCAGAGCTTAAGACAAACAAAATGCCATTTGTAATTGATGTAGTGCTTTTCCATCACTAACCAGAGTAAGTGGAATGAAATGTAATAAACTGGGGTTCACATATTAGAGGACAAGTGAGGGTTGACATTTTTCCTTTCACAGGGAGTGCAGTCAAACCAGTGAATATGCCCACATAGCAGAAAGTGGTTGTACATGAATATTACTGCAAATGTAGCTTTGTGGGCACACACTAATTTGGGGGAGCTATTGAAATTTGCTATCCACTAGGGCTCTCCTAAATAAATACTCATTTAAGTATACGCAGCCAAAAAGGCACCCAGAGCAGTTTCTAAATCACCAGTTAAACAAGGCAGTCTTCACAAGTTGCAGCTAAAAAAAAACATGCATAGAAAGAAGCATGATACATATTTCTATACCACTCAATAGCTAAAGTTGTCATGATAGTCTGCTGATATGAAGTGATATTATCTCAAGTGTTCAGGGGACTCTCTTCTTACTGCTAGTGGCTGGAGCTCTGTTACCCTCATGGCAACTTGAACACTGCATATCAGGCATGTAATTGGTTTCTGAAAGGATGCACACAGATGACAACATAGTGACTCATGTTTAGCCCGCAGTTGTCTGGTACACTAAGATCTCTTTCATAAGTGCTGCTTTCCTTTTTTAGTGACATTCATCCCTCCTGAACTCCTTTGCCTTCCAGTAACCTATCCCAGGAGACATTTCCCAGTCTGGCCTTCAGTTGGCCAAAGTTGGCCCTTGTGAAGTCCCAGCTTCTAGTGCTCGAACTGCTGCATGTTCCCATTCCCCTGATATCAAAGAAAAGGATGAAGTGATCACTCGCATCCAGAGCTCCCCTAATCTGCACCTCATCTATCAGGTCTTCCCTGCTGGTCAAACCCAAGTCAAGGATATCACCCCCCCCCACCCCACTGCTCACCCACCATTGCCTTCTAGACCCTCTGTCTGGAAAAACCTTCCCTCTATAGCATCTAGGAAGAAACGTGACCTGGGTGTCGCCACCGAGTGAGTCGCCCAACTAATATCTGGGAAATTGAAATCTCCCATTATTACCATGTCCCTCCCCTGAGATATCCTTTGAATCTGGTCTGTCAGGGCATTGTCCAGGGCCTCAAGTTGACTCAGTGGGTGATAGTATACCCCCACTGTCAGGTCCCTCCCTCAGTCAAGTCACTTCAGTTTTACCCAGACCACCTCTATCAGATCCCCATCTGTGCCACCCTCTATCTCATTGCATCCTCTCCCTTCCCTGACATATAATGCTACACCCCCTCCTCTCTTTCCCTTCCTGTCCTTTCTAAATAGGACAAACCCCTCTGTATTTACATTCCAATTCTGTCTTTCATCCAACCATGTTTCCATGATCCCCACCAGGTCATGGCCTCCTATTCCAAAGAGAGCTTCAAGCCCTTCCTGCTGGTTTCCCATGCTCCTAATGTTAGTATACATGCATCTCAACTCCTTCCCACGATCCTCTTTCTTTGGGTCCCTTGGCCTCCTCCTTCTTCCTTTCTTCCCTGGTTCTGGAACCCTCTTCGTAGAAATCTCACCAGCCCCTACATTACTTCCAGTGTTCTGGCCCTGAATGGCTTGTGGTTGGCTGTTATGCAAACAGAATTCTGAACTAGATGTACCCTTGGTCTGATCAAGCATGGCTGTAATTATGCTCTTAAAGTCATTATCTGCAATGTCTTGTTTGTGTGTTTTCCACAGACATCTGTCTGGCCTGGTGCCCGGGGTAAGACCTTCTGACTCACTCTGCTTCTATGTTCTCTGTTTCATTTCTCTCTGAGGGGGAGAACTACAGCCACACATAACCAGTGATGCTATATGTCACTGTATTACACTGGAGCTTCTGGGAGGAAGTAAGCCATTCTGAGACATTTTCATGAAGGACGGGATAGAAATGTTTTAAATAAATAAACAAAGTCATTTTTATTTGAAGGATTAGAGCCACCCATGAGATGTGCAGAAAAACTTCCTGTGGTTTGACTTTTAAAACAGGTGGGAGCCCAGATTCCAAGCCTGTCTAAAAGCTAACCTACCTAAAGAAGAAGCCCTTCTCTGTAATGTAAAACAAATGTAGGAAGAAGGGGAGGTGATTTGAATGACTAGCTGTTTTATGTGCAAAGCTGGCTCACCCCCTTTTGTGTGCTGTGGATCATGCGCAAGTGTGAACTGAAACACTAGCAATCTTAGACAACCAAACTACTCTGCATTAGCACTGTAGACTTCCTGGCTAATGCTAGATCAATGCCATATGAAATAAATGTTGGCTGATTTCAGAAAAAAGAAACTCTGAGGTTCATGCTTGTTCTACTGAGTGCTGCAACCCTATAGCTGGTTTTGCACACCTTTTTACATACCTGTTCTCCTTTGATCCCCTAAATCAATTGGCTATTTTGTTAAAGATAGCTTATTCAATTGAAATGAAATATAAAGATCTAAGTGGAACAGCAGCTAAAGTTGTTTCATCCCTTCTTATCTGAGCTGTGAAATTCAGAGAAGGAAATAAATAAAAGGACACTGAATTAAGTTTACCTCTCCTAACTTCTGTATTCATACCACATACCAGGACCAGGAGGCATGATAAATCAATACTTTGTGTAATTGTTGTAATCTGGCAGTTTGAGCTGCAAATGCAAACAACAGGATAAAGAAAGTAACATAAAACTGTTGCTATAGCACCAGTGCTTAATCACCAAGTATAACAAACAAAATGGTCTGCTTACAGTTCAATTTATCTGATGTAAAACCAAAAATAAACATCCTGTAGGTCTCTTGCCTTTGTCATTTTTTCCCTTAGCAAGTGAACTCTTTTGTTAACCACAATTCAATATCCTGACACAATGTCAACCTGTTTCAAAGCCATTGGATTAATGCACAGTAAGAAGGCAGAGAAAAATGATGGCTAAGTCAATAATTGTGTTTAGCATGGTATCTCCCAGGTTTGTTTGGTATCTGAAAGCTTTAAGTCTTTAAGGTTCATAGGACCATGCGCTTACCAAACATAAACACAGGCACATAAAGTGTCAGTGCAGGCACACATTTTTAAACACTCATGTGCAGACCCCAGCACACTTTAATTGGGCCACAGTAAACATAAGAACATATTATGTGGCTCCTTTACATCCCAGCTCAGCATTCTTACCTGCAAGACCTAAGGACCACTTCAGTCAACTGAAGTGCAGGCGCTATTCATCCATCCATCCTCATGACTCTTTAGTGTTGTTTCAATTAGTAGTGAGCCAGCTGCTGTGATGTGGCTACTGGAGGAGGCTTTAGAGGTGGGGAGTCAAGAGACCTGTTGCATATCAGCTTTAAACTAGAGGCAGATGTTTTAAGCTAGAATGCCACAATGATCAGCCAATTAGCTGCTGCGGGACATGAAGGAGGCAAAGAATAATATGATTGGTTAGCTGTCCAGCACTGAGGAAAGAATCCCAAGGGTGAGAAAAAGATCCTTTCCAATCTATCCCAGTGGACCAGTCAGAATTTGCCTGCCTGATGACTGAGTGGCTGACAAGGTTTTGCTTCAGTTATATGAAGACTGAGTCTGGAACACAGTGTGTCTATGTGACCAGGATGAGTGGAGAAGACTCATGTCATGCCTTCCCATATGACTGCATTGAAAGATCCTAAATGTGACCTCAGCTTGAAAACTAATTGAAGATCACTGCTCTAACTTTAGGGCACCATGTGGTGGTGTACCCATAGCAGACACAATGTTAGGATGAAGTTTAAAGCAGCTCTTATTTCTCAAAGGGCTTTTGAAAAAAGTTCCCTTGTACTTTTCAATGAACACTTCCCTGAATTCCTGTAACTATTAACAGTGACTCTGTTCTATACTACTCACTTGTCAGACCTCACCCAGAATACTGTGTTCAGTTCTGGGCACCAAGATTTAAGAAGGATGTAGGTAAATTAGAAAGTGTCCAGCTGAGGGCAACAAAAATGATCCAGGTTTTGGAAACACTGCCCTATGCGGAGAGACTAAGAGACCTGGGCATGTTCAGCCTTGAGAAGAGAAGACTGAGGGGAGACATGATATCCCTCTATAAGTACCTCAAAGGCTGTCACAAAGAGGAAGGTCAAGATCTCTTCTTGCTAATTCCAGAGTGCAGGACATGGAATAATCAATTCAAGTTGCGGTGACCCAGATTCAGGCTGGACATCAGGAAAAGCTTCCTCACTGTCAGAACAATACAACAGTGGAACCAGCTGCCTAGAGAGGTGGTGGGCTCTCCCACACTAGAGACATTCAAAAAGAAACTTGACAGCCATCTGAGTGGGATGGGGTAACTTGGTGTCCTGCAACAGCAGGGAGTTGGACTTGATGGCCTTCATGGCCCCTTCCAACTCTACTATTCTATGTTTCTATGTTGATTTCAGAGTCCTTGCAAACTACAACAGCCTAAAAGACAAGCACCTTGCAGGCTATTTCAGTAATACCAGGATAAGACGTCACCTTCAGAAATCAGGGCTGGTAGGTATGCAAGCATTTCTAACTTTTTTAATGCTTAAATTTAAATATGTATGTTCAAATATGTACTTCATATTTGTATTTAATTACCTTTCATTCCACCCTTACTCCAAACACTTAAGAGCAGTATACATGTATTTCCATCATCCTCTACTCTTAAAACAACTGTGAAGTTGTCCACAGTTATCCAGTCATCTGGCTGGATAGGAATTTAAACCCAGATCTTCCAGGTCTATGTCCAGCATTGTATCTAAGGAGTACTAAAACTGCCAGTACTACTTTCTTTTGAATTGTCCAGCACTGCTGCCCAAATTTTTGGGAATTATTTTATTCACTACTCAGTACTTTCAAAGATGCTTTCAACTTAGTGAAAATATTCCTTTAGGCCATGGTGTTGCAAAAAATGTATGGCAGTGTAATTGCTATCACTTTGATCATGGTGATCATAAATCATTGTGACAGCATCCAGTGTTAACCAATTAAAGTGACAGCATGAAATGGTGGGTGTTATTCACAGTGCCTGCAACCCTTCCGGCTAACTTTCTAAGGATTGTCCACTTGAATGTTGTGAATAAGAATACATAAGGCTGGATTGTGTAGATACCTTCACAAGTAATGGTAGGAATGTCTATTACTGCAGGGTTCTAATGGGCACTTGACTTAGCACATCAATCTATTTATGCTAATGGAAGTGGAGACATCTGGGAGAGGAGGCCAGGTGGGCAAGTGCCATCGGAATACTTATTTGCAAGATTGTTTTAGGATGAATTGAGCCACAAGTTGAAGCAGGATGAAAAGGAGAAAACAACTAGGACCAAGTGGCTGCTTCCTTTTATGTATGTTGGTAGAATATGTTCATGCTGTTCCCTGAAACAATGCAAACCAGATGGATAGAACAGGCAATGAAAGTAAAGCAAAATAATAATGTCCCTGACAGCTCAATTTTTCAAGTTTTCAAGTATTACTGTCTGCTTCTTACTGAAGCAACTGTTTCCACTGGAAATTGTATCTGGCCATAGGAACCTAGCTAATCAGCATCTACTTTTTTTTTTTAAATGTGGAGAAACTGAATGATGTTTTGTTGTTTTAAGTATACCTCTTTTTCCCGCTTGTTATAAAGTTAACTGGCAATATTAACACAGGTTGACAAAAAGCTTAAACCTAAATGTAGAAGAGATCAAAAGAAATGTCACTGTAATCATGGCTGCTGGCAATGCAACATTCAATTAAGTGTGTGTGTGTGTGTGTGTGTGTGTGTGTGTGTGTGAGAGAGAGAGAGAGAGAGAGAGAGAGAGAGAGAGAGAGAGAGAGAGATACATTGTATTTACATAACCTTGCTGTTTTTCTTCTTACCACTCAACTGTTTGCCAATTTCACATTGAGCAGGCTATATTTTCCTTTTCTTTTCTTTTACTTTATATTTACAAAGTACATTAATAAGAAGAAAGTAAATATATGGGAAAAAAGATGTCACAGGATATTCCACAAATATAGATGTAATTTCAGTATCTGAACAGTATTTGATATTATCTATGTATTACTTTTCAAAGTTGAATTGAATTACTGTAGCAATTTGTAGCATGACGTTAGCGCAAAAGATGGCATTAATGAAATGCTAGCATCACCAAGTGATAGTTTTTAATACAGGATTTTCCTTTCTTAAAATGTGTATACATTTTTTGGCACCATCTGTATATTTACACTTCTACCACATATGGAAATATGTATCCACTTCCTGGTTGCATCTCCAACAAATTCATTATTTATATAATTCAGTTTAACTGGAGTTAAGTACCATTTCCAAACCAGTTTATAAGAATTCTCCTTAATTCTTATTGACATAAATTTTAACATTGACATGAATTTCTTTTTCCCAGGACTTTTTAAGAGGATCATATCAATCCTCCTCTTCTATTAATATATTATAAATTTTACTTATCATTCCTAATCCTAAACCCTCTATTTTCAGTGGCATATACCATATTTTTAAATTAACCCTTACTTTTTATCCCTATTACCAAATTTATTAATCATGTTTTGCCATTTACTTATTTTATACTGATAATTTTAATTTTATATTATTATGTTTGTAACTCAATGTATTTTTTTTGTATTTTTGTATTTAATGGTAATTTATTATGTGCTATTGTATTTCAATGTATTTTATTGTGTTGTAAGCCGCCCCGAGGCTTCGGCAAGGGGCGGCATAGAAATGTTAATAATAATAATAATAATAATAATAATAATAATAATAATTCTTTCAAATCTTTCTGTTAACTTAAATGACAACATCATAAACAAGAAATTAATCTTAGGTAAAATCTTCATTTTAAATGCTGTTATTCTACCATAACAGGATAAATCAATCTTTCTAAAATCATTCATTTTCTCTTTCATGTCTTATTTTAACTTGTCAAAATTGTTCTGTATTAAACATTGCAAATTTTTTGTAATCTTTACACCTAAATAATAATTTTATCTATCTTCTAACTTGCTCTTAATCTCATCTGTTTCTACCTTACTGCAATTAAATTAGCTTCATCTCTGTAAACCCATTATTTCTCCAAATTCTGTTAAATGTGTTTTAATCTGACCCATAACCTTAGCTGGTTCCTTTATTGTTAATAATGTATCATCTGCAAATAAGCTGATCTTAATTTTATTCTCAGATCCTATACCTTTTATTGAATTATCATTTGTAATACCATTCGCTAGCAGTTCTATAGTTGAAGCAAACACTATTGGAGAGAAAAGGTAAGCCTGTCTAGAATCTTGGCCTAGGAATATTTGGTCTGGTATACCATCATTCACTATCACTGTTGCAAAGTTTTCTGAGTAGAATTGATTTATTATATTTCTGAATTGTGGACCAAACCCCAATACTTCTATCAATGTCTTTATAGTTGGCCATTCCACACAGTCAAAAGCTTTGAAAATGTCTGATGCTATTATACTAGCTTTCAAATTTTCCTTATGTATATGTTCAAATATATTTAATACTCTTCTAGTCAAATCTGCCATCTCCCTGCTTATCATAAAACTGCTTTGAGCCACATTAACATAGTTTCCAATAAAATTACACATCCTCTTTGCAAATATTGCTGTAACAATTTTTGCATCTTGATTTATCAATGATACAGGTCTGTATACAGATACAGTATTTCCAAGATGCTGGCATCTTACCTCCTACCAATATTTTATTAAACAAAGATTTTAGTTGTGAAATCAAGATATTTTTAAAAGTATTATAATACTCTGGGCCTAAACCATCTGTCCCAGGAGTTTTCGCTACTTTTAACTTGTCAGTAATAGCGTCTATCTCCTCCTCACTAACTAATTGTTCCATCAGCTTCCTATCCATTTGCTGTAGTTTTTTCCCAACATTCTTCTCTATGTATGATCTGATTTCATCCAGTGACAACTTCACACCTGAATACAACTTAGAAAAAGTCTAAAAAATATCCCTAATTTATCTTTTGTTAAATTACACTGTTTACCACTCTCATCTTTAACTAATCCAATTAAATTTTTAGCTTTCTTTTCTTGTGTGGCTCTAGCCAACAACCTTAAATTCTTCTTACTAAATTCAAAATATTCCCTTTCTAAATATATTAAATTTCTCTATATTTTTTCAGTTTCAATATTTTGCCATTCTTTTCTTTTAGCTTGAATTACTGTTAAAACATTTATATTCCTGTTTTTGATATATTTTTTCTCCAACACTTTACTTGTCCCTCCAAAATTTCCACTTGTTTATTTTGTTGTCTTCTTAAATTATTAGCCTCTGTAATACCTAGCCCTTTTGCAACCACCTTCATCATATCCCAAATCAGCTTTCTTGACTAGCTTCTCCATTATTAATCTCCCATATTTCATTTATTTCTCCCCATTTTATTTGTTATATCTTTGTAAAATATTGGCATCCATTTTCCTTCTTTTAACTTCTTTATAATCACATTTGATTCTAAGAACCATATTTACCAAAGCATAATCTGTCACCTATATCTGAGTAACACTCTAGATAAAAAATAATTAGACATACATATACAATCTATCCTCAAATAAGTCTTATGAACTATGAACTGAAGATAATTTCATTTCACTTTAATTCTATCCATGCATCTTTCAAATCTGTTTTGTTTATCATTTTAAACAAAATTGTAGTACTGTATCTGCAGCCTTCTTTACTGGGTTTGATTTATCTTTCACTGTATCCATTATCATATTAACATCTCCAACCATTATTTTTATTTATTTATTTACGTGTATTTTTAGGCCATCTATGATTGTGGAGGCCTTTCTAGGCAGATTTCAATACATAAAACATATTAACAGAGTAAAACACATTAAAAACAATTAATTAAAACATAAGGAATTAAAACCTCTATACAAGGAATTTAAAAAAAGCCACAGCATTCAGACTAAATGTTATTTTTTTCCCCCAACAGACCAGAATCCAGGAGCACCCCCAGACTGGGGGCCCTGTGGAGTATGAGCCCCACCCCCCCAGGACAGGGTAATGCCCTCCTAAACTATCAGAGGTCCACTCTACCAATAGTACCTCCATCTTACCAGGATTAAGCTTCAGTTTATTGACCCTCATCCAGTCCTCCGAGGTCCCTTGTGGACGCTGGGGGAAACAAGATCTCAGACAGAAGACCTGCCCCCAGCATCCAGGTGTTGGTAGCAACAGTGCAGTCTGTCCCCACTCAAGCTCCGGCTTCTCTCATGCTGCAGCTCAAGGGGGTGGGCAGGCAAAGCGAGCTCCCAGGGCCCAGCGCAGCAGCAGCAAGTTGGAAGCATTGTGAACGGTTAAAAGCCCGCAGGGAGGGCCTTCCTGCCTGCAGCCCTCTCTCTTTCAGCCTCCACACCACATCTGCAAAGCGGCCCACGTCTTACTTGTGTTGGCCCTGTTTCTGCCACAAACCAGGTCAGTCTAGATGGAAAAGAAGGCAGTAGGGTGGCCTGCAATGGTGGCAGTGGCAGGAGCAATTGAGCAGGGT